TATTATTTATTTATTTAATTAATTTATTCATTTCATATAAAAATAAAAAAATTATACACAAAGAAAAAAATCACACTTGAAATGAAAGGAGGCAGAAAGAAGAAAAAATCTTATATCTGCCCCTTTTTTCCAAAATTAATTTCAAACAATAATAATCAAAAAACAAAACAAAATAAAAACTTGWATTCCTTTTCAAACAACAACTTTTGATATACATTATACAATTTGATATTTCTTTTAACAAACTTATTTTTATCATTCTCTTAAAAAATACATTGAACCAACATTTTTATAATCACTTTCCAGATTATTTCACAATCTTATACCTTGAACTGAAGCACGTCGGTCCTTCAAGTTTGTTCAAATTTTAGGTTTTATAAACATCTCAAGTCCCTTAACAAAATATAACTGGATATTTCCTTATACATAATCTGCAAGATATTATAATCAACCAACTCATAAAATTTTAATAATTTCAATTTACAAAATAATATATTCGACGAGTGACAGGAATGTTTTCTGGTGATAACTCTAATGGCTCTTTTCTGTAAAACAAAAATAGGATTTGTGATTGTTTTTGCACGCTTTACCCCAGACTTCAACACAGTAAATCAAGTGTGGATATTATTCATAAAGCAAAGCAGCATAATAAAGAAGGCAATCATAAATATCATAAAGAAGACAAATCTGTGTCAAAGTCACACCCAGTGAACCATCACCTCCCCCAGTCCCCCTCAGGACAGCTAGCCTCGGACACCCACCCCCCCCCCCCCCCCGAAGCGCCGCCCCCCGGCCCCCCCCCCCCCCCCCCCCCACCTCTGGTATTGTAAAAAGGCTAGTCTGACCACGGCTGAGACCCTGCCTCAATGCAGCCTTTTGTTTGCCTCTAATATCCTTATCAAATCCGTCTAGACACCCTGACAACCACCATCATCCCCCACACGAAGCCTTGGACAAACACTGCTGTGCAGCGTGGAGCTGACCAGCAGCTGATCGAGCGTCTGCTACACAAGTTCAAACACGGACAACAACGTGACACAAACATTAGATGTAAAAAAACATACATTACCATTCAGAGAGAGTTGGAAGGTTTTACATTGTAATAATTTCTAAGTATATAGTTAATGTATTTTTTATATACAGTATAAACATAAACAAATCCTAAAATAGTAATTGTTTATTGAATTTTTTTTAAAAAATACCTGGACTGCTACCCAGCTGGCGTTGACAGTGTGTTCTCCAAACGGCTCGAAACCTGCAAGAGATTCAATGTTTATTTGTCTGCTAATAGATGCAATTATTTCAAGGTCACTGCGCACTAGTGCCAACATTTGACTGAAAATCGCCTTTGCAAGAAGAAACTGAAGATGCCATTTTGTTTTATTTTTAATTACGTACTTTTTATCTGTTCTACTTTTTACTATTTTGGAGTTCACCTGCATTTGCAAAGCATTTATAATGGCAAAAAGCAAGATGTTTCTTAGTATTTGTTTTAAAGAATAAAAATGTGTTATATGTATTTTCTTTAATCCCCACGTGCATAACTTCATAAAACCTGAAAAAAAAATGTCTCAGGAGCTGATGGGTATTGGGCCAGGCTTGTTTATACAGGGATCTATTGCTGATCCCCCACCACCACCCGTCCTGGGGTCAGCGGGTCCCTGGGGGTTGGGTGGAGAAAGGATCAGTCTGTCTGACAGGCTGCTGAAAAGGAGCAGAGCGAGGGGTCAGCAGCTGCCAGCCGGCCTGCTTTTGTGAAGGTGCTGTTCCCAGGCGATCCACACATTTACTATCAGACGTGGCTGCGAGTCTCTGCACTCTTTTGTGTCTGAGACCGCAAAGTCTCAGTCGGCTGGCCCTGTCAAAACTAACTGTCCAAGACAGTATTAAGTGCATTTAAACAGACAGCTGCACTTAGTGGGCTTTTTTTGAGATACAGTCATGAATACTTAGTAATTATAATTTATGCTGCTGAAACAAAGTCAAATTTAAGATGTTAAAACCAGCTGTTGTGTTTTGAAGATGTCAGCTATTCAAAATGTAAAAGTAAATGAAAATACAGATCCAATAKAAATCAATACAAAACAAGGGGAAAATCAAAAAGTTATAGATGAAAGTTTCTCATCTAAACTGGTTTATAATGACAAKAACATTTAACTAACAGACACTTGCTTCCTCCTTCATTTACTGTTCTCCTGTTAGTCTTTTATGGCCATTACATGTAGTTTAATCATAAATAACTCACAACARACTTTATAAACAGTTACTAATGACAGCTATGCTAATTCTGATAAGCAAAGCAACATCAGGTTAACTTTGACATAATGCTTGACATAACCTAACTTAATGCGTATGTTTCGTATTATAATTTAAACTTTATAATATAGTATGTTATAAACAGGATACTGACATTACTTCGCGTACAAAAAAATATAAAGATACTTCTTAAAACAGTTCATGTAGTCACTGAGTAGCAGTCAAACCGGCCGGCAAAAGCTCATTGACTTCCTTGAAAACACAAAGCATTAAAACCTAATAAAAAATGACAAACAAAGCGCTCCTTTCCGTACACAACTGCAGCCCAGAACAACCTGACGCCATTAAGGACAGAGCAGCTGTCATCCTCGCAACTTTTCCCCCCACTTTTCTCGCTTTCTAAAGCTGCCTTTAAACTCGACAACATTTGTTTTCGGATGAGACACGAACCTGTCACGATCACAGTTCGGTTGCTGTTATCCATCTCCCGCTTTGTTAAGTAGAATCCGTTGCTGTTTCTCGGGGTTTTAAGCTGAACCAGAATAAGACAGAGAGTCAAAGCCCCCCTTACAGCTGACGACTCCTTCTGCCACAATCAAAAGAAACCTGCCGTACTCTTCTTTCCGCTACGTGCTACGTTGGACGTCACGTGACAACGTTCACGCTCTAGAGACGCTCTAAAACTACGGAAGCTCAAACGTGACATAAAAGGCTAAACACAAAAACAAACAAACAAATAACATCATACTTACGACTGCGTGTTGTAGGCCATTTGCAGAGGGGGAAAATGGAGAAGTTTCCACTAGAAAACTAGGAGCTTTTAAGATTAATTTCAGAATCTCTGAAAAGTGTATATA